AATTAAAATTCGTTTTGTTTTTTTTCTGGGGGGGGGGGGGAAGAGAAAGAGGGAAATCGTGTCCGATTACGATGTTTGTCTGTTGTTCGCCTTGAAAAACTTTTTCGAACGAACGAAAAGAATCCGATTGACGCGCACAATAAATTTTCCAATTCTTGCAATTTTTCCCCCTTTCCCCCCCTCTCATCTTTTTCCATTTTCCATTCCGTTTTAATATCGATAATGAACATAATTTGTATATTGAGATAATAATAATAATAATGATAACGATAAAATTTAAAACAAAACAAACTTAAAAACACTAAATCGAAGAAATTCGTAACGATAATAAATATATATAAAATTCAAGGACGAAATAATTATTTCCAAAGTTTTTTTTTTCGAGAGAAAAAACTATCAATCGATAATCGATTAATTGAAATGTATCGATAAAATCATTCGCGACGCGTCGACGACGAAAACAAAATTTTTAAATCGAAAAAAAAAAATAATAAAAAATAATTTTCCGCTGTTGTTGGCATTTTTCCGTACAAAAATTTTCACGTTCGCGCGTTTTTTGATTTTATTTTCGAACCATTATTATTATTATTAACCGTGACGTAAAGTTCATATATATTAAATTAAGTGAAAAAAAAAAAAGAAAAAAGTAGATATCATTATTATCATTAACGTAAGAATTAACAAAAAAAAAAAAAAAAAAAATTCAATAAAATAACAATAAATTAACTTTTTTAAAAAAAAAAATTGCTTACGTCACAAAAAGTTTTCCTTTTTTTTTCTAATGCATCTGTCATTAAGTTTATTTTTCTTTTTTAAAATTTATGTTTTTGTTTTTTTTGTTTTTGTTTGAAATTTTAGATGTTACATTATGTTTTTGTTTGTTTTAAAAAAAAAAAAATTTCTTTTTTTTCTATCTTTTTATAACGATATCGATTTTCTTTTTTTTTTTTTTTTGGTTAAAAAAATTCTTAATTGAAATTTTATATTAACTTAAAATTAATTAAATTTTTTTTTTGAATAAAAAAA